TGGGTAGGAGTAGACAAAGCCACAGTCTTCCAAAGTGACTGTACCATTTGACACCCCCACCAACAATATGTAAGAGATCCAGCTGGTCTACACTCTTGCCAACACTGGAACTGTCCATCTTTTTAATTTTAGTTATTCTGGAAGGTGTATAGCAGTATCTCATTATTGTTTTAATTTATATTTCCCACTGACAAATAATGTTAAGTACCTTTTTATATGCATACTGGCCATTCTGAGACCCTCTAATAGAAAGTGCCTGTTCAAGACGCCTACACATTTTTAAAATGATTTTTCTCATTAATTTTTTTATGCTACACATACACACACACACAGAGCATGAGTCCTTGGTCAGATATATAAATTGCAAATTTCTTCTTCCAGTCCATATTTTGCTCTTCATTTTCTTAGTGGCGTCTTTAGATGAAGAGAAGTTCCCAAGTTTAATGAACTCTGAAGACAAATTTATCAATCATTTTCATGATCAGTGCTTTCTGAGTCCTTTTTAAGAATCTCTGCCTATTCTAGGCACTAGTTCTTTATTTGCACTATGGTTTCAGTAGTTCTCCCCCTAGCTTTGACTTCATGAAATCCTGCCTCTTTTGCAAGATTTGCACCCCCTACCTTGTAGTCGATTTGCACTGCATTCATGTTATGTTGTTAGGTGTTGGACAACTTTAGTGTTACACAAGTTCAAGTGGAGATCAGCTTTAAAACTAGAGAAATCATCAGTGATTACTTCCATATTACAATGATTTCTGTACAAATATATTCAAAACCTAATGTAAAAAGAAAAAAAATTCTAATACCCATTATCCTAGCATTTTTCCCCCAAACATACCTTAAGATGATTCTTTCTACACCTTTTAAACAAATAACTTCCTGCTCTATTCTTTTTCCTAAATTAGTTAAGAAGACCTCCAATTTCCAACCATATAGTTCCAAAGAAATAAACCTTACTCTTACGGCAAGCACGTATTCCCTTCCACAACCCTGTTATCTTCACAGCCAATCACTCTCACAACATGCTTTCAAAATGTGTGTGGAATGTGAACTCTGCTCTGCCACAGCCAATGCCTGGTTCCTTCCCTCACCATCTCTTGTCTGGAGTATGCAAACTGTCCTTAACTGGTCTCCTCTTTACAGTCTGTCTTTCACCCTGTCACCAAAGTCACCTTTCAAAAACATAAAGTTGAGGTTATGCATCTAACGAGCTCCTTCTACAGTTCCCACTGTCTGCAGGATAAAGTCACTCTCTTAGCTAAGAGTTCACAACCTGGCTCCAACCTTTCCTGGCTTTGAAAGGAGCTGGGCACATTCCTCAGCCCCGGGCTCAAAACTCCTTGAGCCTAGTACAAACACATCCCATCCTCCCATCCCACCACATACCACCATATATCTCTCCAACTCCCTGAGCCCAGTACAAACACCACCTGGAAAGTCTCCGATAAGGGGACAGCCGTTCAAGGTTACTGAAAGCGCGGGAGCCAAAAGAATTTCTTTGTTCCCCTGCAACTTTCGGGCTATAAAAAGCAAACGCTCGCATTGTTCGGGGCCCTCTTGTATACTGTGTAAAGGAGGGACCAGGTTCGAACTTGTAGTAAAGATCCTTGCCGCTTGGCTTTGACTCTGGACTCTGGTGGCTTGCCGCTTGGCTTTGACTCTGGACTCTGGTGGTCTTCTTTGGGGAACAAACAGTCTGGGCATTACAGCTTCCCTTCCAGCAACACCTACAATACTCTGGTCTGACCCCTGGACACCATGAGCTCTCACTTGTCCTGGCTTTGCTCTGCTTCTCCCTATGCCTTTATCCTCCAGTTAGCTCCCTTCCTCTTCTGGCCAGACCCACCCCAGAAGAAGTAACTGTTCCCTTTTATGTGCTCTCACAGCTCTCTGCACCCACAACTATATTTGAGTTCTTATCACACTTTATTAGTTAATCATTTATTTATTTGTCTCAACTGTCTACAAACTTCTGGACCTGGGACTTCTCCCTGAATTCCTCAAGGGTAGGGTCAGGAGTTAATGTTTACATCCTAAAGACTTGGCGGGGCTATTCCATAAAGGTTCAATGAAAGAATAAATGTCCTAGCCACTTTTACTCATCCTATTTTTTCAATAAATAAAGACTGGAAAAATTAGCACAAGTATATCAAAACAACAAGCTTAACTAAAATCAGTTTTCTTTTAAAAGTCCCCCAGCAAATTATTCTTTTAAAAAAATATAATAAAAACAAAAATCTCAATTACTGATTTGTGCTTCCTGACAGAAATTAGTCATAACTGGCCAGGCACGGTGGCTCACACCTGTAATCCCAACACTTTGGGAGGCCAAGGCAGGCGGATCACCTGAGGTCGGGAGTTCAAGACCAGCCTGACCAACATGGAAAAACCCCGTCTCTACTAACAATACAAAATTAGCCAGGCGTAGTGGCACATGTCTGCAATCCCAGCTACTCCAGAGGTTGAGGTAGGAGGATCACTTGAATCCGGGAGGCAGAGGTTATGGTGAGCTGAGATGGTGCCATTGCACTCCAGCCTGGGCAACAAGAGCAAAACTCCCTCTTAAAAAAAAAAAAAAATCAATCATACCTCTGTTTCAAAACAAATTTTTAACTAATGGGCAACAAAAGTAAGATGAATATACCACTTAACTAAGGTAAATGTAATTGTTACCACACAACTGGATGCCAATGGAATAAAACATGATTATTTACACAACTAAAAGATCACAAACAAAACTACTGGCTTGAAATATGTGTTCATTCTAGGACATCGCTGGAGCCTTTGAAAAAATATATATATACATAAAAAATGAAAAATTTGTGCATTATTAATGTTTCCCCTTAATACGTAACACATCTGTATGTCACAGGAAGATAGTATGCATAGTGGTAGTAAGACAGTAATAACACAGGCTGGAAACACAATGCTAATTGTGTGACATGGACAAATTACTTAAACGTCAACGTGCTTCAGTTTCCTCATCTGCAAAATAAAGATAATAAATGTATCCACCTCACAGTGATGCTAGACGACTGAGTTGGCACATGTAAGTCCCCGATTCAGAGTCTGGCATAGCACATGAATGTAGAGGAATAAATTTCAAATATTTTCACTGTTTTTTTAACTTTTTTTAAGCCCTTTTACACACACTGTCTTTTCTTTTCCTCCCAACAGTTTAATGAGATTGTTTGAACACGAAATACTAACTTTAGAGATAAGACACCAATAGTAAAGTTGTATGATTACCCCTTTTTTTTTTTTTTTTTTGAGACGGAGTCTCCATCTGTCGCCCAGGCTGGAGTACAGTGGCACGGTCTCGGCTCACTGCGAGCTCTGCCTCCCGGGTTCATGCCATTCTCCTGCCTCAGCCTCCCGAGTAGCTGGGACTACAGGCACCCACCACCACGCCCAGTTAATTTTTTGTACTTTTAGTAGAGACAGGGTTTTCTAGGTTTCACCGTGTTAGCCAGGATGGTCTCGATCTCCTGACCTCCTGATCCACCCACCTTGGCCTCCCAAAGTGCTAGGATTACAGGCGTGAGCCACCAGTCCGGCCACCCTAAGACATTTTTAAGTGGCAGAGTTTGGACTAGAATCCACACATAATCTTAACCCCAGGCCAAACTGACCAAATCTCCACGGATCCAGTTTGGAAGAAAGAATCTTTTGGGTTTTCCCCATTGCTTCCTCCTCGTTGTCAGCAACAGCCAGCCTAAAGACCTCATGGGGGCAAATGCAGAGGACCACGTGTTCAAACTAAAAAGTAGAAGAAGCCTAACTTTCACAGAAACTGACACATAGTTGGCCCTCCAGAGATGGCAGCTATTGACTGAAACTTACAAGCACTATTACATTTTTCTCAGTTACAGAACAAAGTACTACTCCACAAAATCAAGTCTACTACCAAAAACAAAAGTCACTTAATACTATGCTTATCTGTCATATCAAGCATATCTATGTCCAATGTGCAATAGAAACCTAAACAAAAAAGTGGTAAGATTTATTTTTACTAATCTCAAAAAACATGTTTCACAAAAAGGGCTTTCATCATCAGTTTTTTGAAAACTAACCCAAGTAGTTATATTTCATGACATGATGTTTCTTTGAACAAATAAGTTAACGATATGATTAAATATTTCACCTTGGTAATGCCTTCAACACATTTGTTCAATACTTTTCTTGGGCTTAAAGTGACTCTCAATCCCTAAACTCATCTACTGCCAGGTACACAAGAAACACAGTTAATGAACTTTAAAGGCAGATGCAATGTTTCCAGGGAAGTCATCTGAACCAGAGAAGTACAAGCAAGCAAATCATCTCCACCACCACGTCTAAGTGCCTTATCTTTCAACTTCTTTTCTTCAAATGGGCAATTAGAAACTAAAATACACCTTAAAAATCAGGTTTGGCATCCGCCCTGGCTAGGGCCTACCTTTCTTTACGCGGCACTGCCACTCTGGCACCTACAGCCAGGCCTTTGGCGCCTGCAGGACTCACAGGGAAGGCAGCCCCAGCCCCTGCTCTCCACAGCTCTCGTCGAAGCCCTGCACGTGGTGGCCACTTGAGACGTTTTAGTGGATGGGATTCGACAGGGGCTGAGCTCAGGTTGCGTTCCGGGAGGGCGCAGCTCCCAGACCCGCTGTGGTTGCAGGAGGAAGGTTTTGACGCTCCCAGCGTAAACAGCGACGGGACACTCTTCGCCCCGCTGCTACCTAGCCCTCGCTGCTCGCGCGGCCCCTCCGCACCCGACGCCTCCGCCAGCCTCCAGGATTCATTTCCCTGCGCCTCCTCCCACCTGAGCCAGCGACGCCACCGCCACCTGCACCGGACCCCAACTCCCAAGCCAGGGGCCGTTACCCGAGGTCGCGGCCCGGGGGAGGCCCACGTCTCAGGAGGAAAAGCCCGGGCTACAGCTCCCGCTCCTGCACCGCTAAGATCCCCCGGCCGCCGCCATTTTCCTTGCGCCGTAACCCCACCTGACAGTTCCAGCCGCCCACCTGTGACAAGCAGGGCACGCCGCGCGACGCCGAGTGGGGTGCGTGGGGAAGCTGGGACTCCGTAAGGGTCACAACCTCCGAGCGGAACCCGCCGTTAATTCATCCAGAAGCGCGGAGGCGTCCGGCCGTCGCCCTAGTAATGCGTCCCGGAAGGCTGCGTCCTGATTGGCTGCAAGAGCCGTGTCGCAACGGCGTCCCCGGCTGCGTGGGAAGCCCGGGTCCGCGGCGCCCCGCGCCTGCTCCACAGCCCAGGATACCCCCGGGTGCCTTTCTTTGAGAGCTCCTTTAAAGAGTCCGCGCTTATTTCCTCGTCTGTCCTCCTGGAGAGGAGGGACCCACGGAACGGTGGGGTGTAAGGATAAGAAAATAACGAAATAGGAAATTAGCGGAGGTCATTTGTCCGAGGAAACCTAATGTTTCATTCAACCCCTAGAGCTGCAAAATGGAAAACAGAAATCTGGGAGTTTAATTTACAAGCCTAAATTGGGTGCGCGAAGACACTGGACAAATCAGTAATAGAAACAGCTCTAGAACCCAGGTTCCCTCATCAGGAGCACAAAGTTTTTCCAGCACGCTCAGTGTTTCCCCAGTCCTAGAAAATGTTTCCTCCCAGTTCCCATAGCAACTTCATCACACTGCTCCAAAGGTCTCCTTCACCTACCATGGTGTGTCTGTCCCCTAACCTACTAGATTGCAAGCCCCTGAATGGTGGGGACTGTGATTAAACCCCTTTTCATTTCCCTTAAGCAATGCCCTCCTCAACTTGGCCTTCAACAAATACAATAAGAATCTTATAAATAATAAACATAGCTACACATCACACACAGCCACTCATCAGTAGTTCATGTGTGTCTATACGTTTCATCCGTTTATTCAACAAGGCACAGAGGAGTGAATATTTTTAAAATTACAAAGTTCCTGACCTCACAAAATTTATGGTATAATAATAATGACCGTCTACATTTTGGCTGCATAGCTTCAACATAGCTAAATTATATCCCCAAATTCCCTGTAAATCAAAGATTCCTGTGCTATTTTCCTAAATCAGCTTCATAATTTCTCTAAGTTTGTTCCAGAACATTTTAGTATTTAAGATGTGCTAAAATTGCATCAGAAAGTGAAGAATGACTACAGAGAGAAACACCAGAACAAAAGTCAATTCTACCAATTATGCCTATGACCTTAGGCCTCCTTTTTACCTTTAAAATAAGATTACTGGAATAAAAGATCTCTAAATTCGTTTTTGTTGTTGTTAAGAGTTGGCCTGGCTATGCTCCAGAACCTTCAAGGGCTGTACTGTGGTTCTTTGGGGGCTTGCCAGAGGCTCTTCATAGCTTTTGCAACTCCATTGCAGAGAGTTCTAGCATCATGAGGTGTGTCCGGTGATACAGCCCAAAAGGCAAGGCTGCACTAACCGCAGAGGACAGAGCTGGGCCCTTTCTTTCTTCTTTTTCTTTCTTTCTTTTTTTTTTTTTTTTTTTTTTCCTGAGACCGGGTCTCACTCTGTCACCTAGGCTGGAGTGCAGTGGCGTGATTGTGGCCCACTGCAACCCCCGCCTCCCGGGCTCAAGCAATCCTCCCACCTTAGCCTCCAGACTAGCTGGAACTACAGGCACCTGCCACCATGCCCAGCTAATTTTTGTGTTTTTTGTTGAGACAGGATTTCACCATGTTGCCAGGCTGGTCTCAAACTCCCAAGCTCAAGCTATCCACCCACCTCGGCCTCTCAAAGTGCTGGGATTAGAGGCTTGAGCCACCGCACCTGGCCCTGAGCCCTTTCTTGATCTGAGCTACTCATCACTAGCCACCTTCCACATCAACTGCTAAATGGATAGGAACAGAATTCCCGAGGGAAAATATGCTGATTTCTAAACTCTAAGAGATCTACTAAGTGTCATGTCATGCTTCTTTCCTTTTGGTAGAGGTGCAAGGTGTAGTAACATGTTTTTCATTCTGGGAAAAATGTCCTGACATGCCCGAGATCATTGGACAACTTCAGCATCCAAAACGATGTGTAGTTTACATAATACTATTATACCAGGATCATTCTTTGTTTTGATACATGTTTTATGCTTACACAAGATGTTGGCATAAGGGGAAACTGGGTAAAGAATATATGGAAAAATCCCTGTACTCTTTTTACATCTCTCCTAAGTCTAAAACTATTCCCCCAGTTTTTTAAATAATTATTTTAAAATATCACCAATGTAGCAAGCTCCTGAATTCTTGTGGGGTTTATCCACCTTTGAAATGTATGTATTTCTTCAAGGTGTCTGGAGAAGTAGTCCCTGACCATTTTGGCACCGGGGACTGCTTTCATGGAAGACAGTTTTTCCATGAACAGGGTGAAGGGTGAAGGGGGTGATTTGGGGATGATTCAACCACATTACATTTATTGTGCACTTCATTTCTATTATTATTACATTGTAGTATATAACACTTAAAAAGTGGTGTTAATCTGTGCTCTACTGTCCCAAAGGGACAAGTTTCTGACTCTTTCCTGACCCCGATAACAGAGCATCACAGCTGATGAATTGTTGAACCTCATGAGCCATTGACTTAATAGTCACATTTAATAGGGCACTCTCTGTAATGCTCAGGGACACGCTATGACACACAGGAAATCTCAAGTCCTAGTTCTTATTGTACTTTTGTTATTATGCCCATGTAATTGCTCCCTCTTCTTCAAAATGTGAGAGTAATAAGGGAAAATCTGTGCTCCATAACAGACCTCAGAAAAGAGTCAGGTACATCGCTGCCAATAAAATCGGAGCAAGTCTCTCCCAAGGTAATGAATACAAGGAACATGCAGCCCAGTGCCAGTGGAGGCCACAGATACTTAACTGGAGGCCCAGAGTGGCCCATTTATTATAGCCTATAGTCTCCCTGTTTGCAAAAACTTCTATGAATGAGACTTAGCATTACCTAATATCATCAGTCATCTAGTGAGATTCTGAAATTCAAAAGGCATTTGAAATGAAATGTTTTGATTTCTTGAGATGTAGAGTAAGACATGTCTTTGGTAGCTGAGGAGTTTGGTGCTAGAATGTACAGCTTGGAAGTAGTGACAAATTTACATTAACACAAAACAGCTGTGGAGTCTAATTATTAATAGTTCTGATTATTCTCTTTTTGCTCCATCTCTCGCCTTCCCCATTCCCCACCCCCATCTTTTTTTTTTTTTTTTTTTTTTTTGGAGTTTCGCTGTTGTTGCCCAGGCTGGAGTGCAATGGCACCATCCTGGC